AAAGAAAGAAAGAAAGAAAGAAAGAAAGAAAGAAAGAAAGAAAGAAATAGAAGAAAAGAAAAGGGAAGAAATGGTGGGGTAGTGAGTTAGAATCTGGGAGCCACGTAACTTGAGGGGTTTCCTCCGAGTTCAGCCAAACCGAAATTTTCACTTAGACTTTTCAGAGTGAACTGAAGCTCTGAAATTTCTCAGAGTAAAAGTTTATTCAAACAATTTGAAAAATAGTAGTATTAGCTCAGGAGAGAAAAAAGACTATGAGAATGTAAATACTGTTTAACTATAGTATTAATGCTTAAGGTGTCATTCAATGGCTTAATGGTTGACCAGAGTTACAATTAAAAGCCATCACCTTCCAGGAGAGTAAAGGATATGAAGTCAGCCAACTCACAGGAGCCTGATGCATTCTTTAGACCGGATCCCCCCTAGCCCACCCAGTGGGGTTGCTTCCAGGGGGCCTGGGCACAGTTACTCACTGCTCACTCAAATAGCACTAGGCTTACCTTTGAGGTGCTGAACCGCATTCCAGGTGGGAAATTTCCTCTGGATTGCTTTAATCCTTTCTGCTAGAATCCCAGCAGACTGTAGAAGGTGTTCTTTGCTGTCCCAGGAACCGATGGGATGGTACATTCTCTTATCAAGCTAGAAAATGCAAACAGTCCTGTCCGTATTGGGGCAAGGCGGCATACTTGTTCTAAGTCTCCCTGTTGTGTGCAAGTTCAGACACTGGCTTCAGCGTCTTTCTTTTGATCCATGAAAGACAAGAGAGTCAGGGAAAGACTAGTTTGGGAGAAGCTCACTAGGTGCTTTCTGAGCTGGAAAGAGAGGAAAGGGGAGAAGGTGCAGGAGGAAAAATGTTCCAAAACAAATAATTAGTGTCCAACCTCTAGACAGCTGCAATGAGAACTATGCAGCTAATTCAGATATAATACAGCTTCTAGCTGGGCGTGGCACTAGGGGGCAGAGGCAGGCAGACCAGCTCAAGCGCCAGGCCTACACGGCCTACAAAGCAAGCGTTGGGTTGGCCAGAGTTACAGTTTGAGATGCTGCCTCAAAACAAACAAATAAAGGCCTGGGAACAAACACCCAAGTAGTTAGGCTCCCCTCCACCCAGTAAATCCGAAGGAGCAAAGGCAGTTAAAGCGGGGGTTAATTACAGCACCTCGACTCACCTTCATGAACTTTACTCATTCAGGAGCCCCAAGAGGACAATGGTTATTGCTACTGTTTATGAAAGTTAATAATAACCTTTATAAAATTTTCCCAATTGAAGTATATAGTTCATGTTAGATGTAGGTATATGTAGTATATGAAGATATAGGTTGATATGTGGTAGTTATGGGACACAGAAAACATGTTAAGGAAGTGCCCAGATGGCTGCCTTGAATGAAACACCACGGATGTGTCACTGTCGGAGAGCAAAGAGTTCTGGCTACTACATGGCCAGACACTTGGGTGTTCATTTCTACCATGGACTTTGGTTTGGGAGCTTCCACAAGGAGACGTGAAGTCAGGTTGACGGAAAGTCTCTAGCTCCCTACCTGCATCAAGCCAAATCTCTGTCCCGTATGGTCCCAGCCGTTTTGCAGTCCAGCTCCACCGTGGCTTTCCCTGGAGATGATGGCTGCAATGATGGCTGGGTCAACGCAGTGCCTCTGTCCTACTTCTTTGATGAGGGTCCGGTAAACTCTTATGGCTTTCAGGTCCATCTCAGCAAACATTTCCGAACCGTGGATCCCTATGCCGAAAGAAAAGAAACTCTTTCCTCTACTGCAGAAGGGGACCAGTTCCCGTTCTACCAGTTCAGCCTCGGCTCCTGAGCACCCCCACAGCTTAGCACAACCATTCTAACAGTCCATGGGCCCTCTAACTGCAGAAACCCAGCAGGGCCACCCGCCCTGCAGGAGCTGCTGGGGCTGCTTCTCCCTCTCCTTCCTGCTGGGAGTGATGGTGTGTTGGGAGGACCAGGAGTCAGCGTTTTAGCTTGGCTCTGCAACCAGCTCTCTGTTCCAGAGGATGTGACTCCTGCTGAGCGTGTGGTCTGTACACTGAGAACATGGGCTTGTGGGACTGCAAAGGAGAAAAGCATCAAGCGCTCGCTTAGGGTACTCGTGCTGCCTTACACCGAGCACAAGAAAACCAGAACTGAACCTTTTATCCATGGAATGCTTTCGCTATGTTAGACACAATTTGAAAAGGATCAGTAGGAAAAGGAAAAGTGGTTTGTAAGGTTGGCTAGGATTTTACTTATTTAAGTTTTTAACTTTCTGTTTGTTTGAGACAGGGTCTCAGTGTATAGCGCTGGTTGTCTAGAACTCAAAATCCAGAGCAGTGGTTCTCAACCTTCGGAAGGCTGCCGCCCTTCAGTATGCTTCCTCATGCCGTGGTGACCCTCAACAGTAAACTTGTTTTCATTGCTACCTTGTAACTGTAGTTCTGCTACTGCTGGGAATTGTTACAAATATCTGATATGCGAGTCCTTCAACCCCCCAAATGGGTCACACCCCACAGGTTGAGAACGACTGATTGATAGCCGCCTGAAGTCTGCTTCCCTCTGCCTCAGGAGAGCTGGGACTGAGGTGTGCGCCACCACGCCCAGCCTGGTTTTTCACTTTTAAATCTTGATTCATGATTGTCATTGTAGCGCTGGCACCTTTCCAAAACTAATTACCTCCTGAGAAAAGCTCTGCAAATGCTAATGGGGATGGGGCCAGGGCCCTGCTCTGGTCTGGACTTACCACAGTTGATGAGGTTGTTTATGTCACAGGGGGCCCCAAACGTCTCCATGGTCATGATGTCTCCGTAGCAGCCATGGTACAGGCGATGATGCAGGTGAGGGTTCATGGAGTGAGTGACGACCGGGTATGAGCCCCTGGAAGTGCCTGGGAGGCAGAGTGATAATTTACGTAAACCCGTGAGAAAATGTTAATAACCTGGTCTCTCTCTCTCTCTCTCTCACACACACACACACACACACACACAAGCTGTGCAACAGGATACAGATCATAACTTATCCTGCTCAGCTCCGTTTTCTACCAAGAATTCATCAGACAAAGCAGAAGTGATGCTTTCTCATTTGATTGCAGACTTTGTTTTAATTTTCGTTTGAACTTCTGGACTTTATCAGAGCATCATGGGAATGCGTGTGAACAGGCGCATATATGTTTCCGATATAGATGTATATACGCGTTTCATATATATATACATGTATATATGTTCCTGCAGTCCCCACCAGAATGAAAGTGGCCATAGGCTTTTTCTCCCTGGCACTAGGATCAGACCTAGGGCCTTTCTAGCTCTCTAGCACTGAGCTGTGGCCCTGCCCAGCACAAGATTTAGAGCATCAAATCAGCTTCTGACATAAGCATCTCTGGGGATGTAAACAGCTAAGTGAAAAATTTGCCTCTGTTTAGAAAATCAAGAAAGGTGCTATGGGTGGTTATGTAGACTCAGTCAGTGTCTCCTTGGTATAAGGTAAGGCTCTGGATCCATTTAATAACATTAGAAATAAATGAGTTAAGTTACTGTAACAACTTATGTCAAATCCATGTCTGTTTTCTACTGTGCCATTGTAACATACTTAGTTCTGTTCAGGTCCCTCTGCTAAAAGAAATATGACATTATTTCCATATTGTTGTGAGCTTTTTTGAAAAAAAATTGTTTCAAGGCTCATTAACTTATATTGCATTTTAATATTAATATTTTTCAAAAGTTGCTTTATCAGAGGGAGTGGGGTTATCACAGGAAAAGAGGAATGAAGGTTCAACATGTTTAGTCCTCAACATACACAAAAAATGTTGCTTTGTCAGAGAGCGTTTTTCATTCACCTGTATTAAAAAGAATCGGCTTCACACTTCACTCCGTGGCCCCCATAACTTTACATGACTAAATATATTGACAGGCACACTGTCCTTTCACAGAGAGGCAGAATATTCCATGCTCACTCTGTAACCTCATCTCACGATATCAAAGCATCCCGGGATACTTATTAAAAATGCTTGCCCGTGGGCTCCTCATGCCAGGTGTACTGAGTCAGAACTATTAGCCCCAGGGCCAAATGGCTGTGTGTTGGAAGCATCCTCAGTTGGCTTTCATGCACACTTGAGGACCCCTGCTTTCAGGGACCAGCTCCTTGTGCTCACATGAGCAGCACACAGGCTTTTAAGAGGCTGCTCATCCTTCACTTGCACACAGATAGCAGAGCGGCTCAGAATTAGTGCGGCTCTGCTCCCAACTGCCAATTAGGGGTAAAAAGTTTAAAACATGTTGCTGTTTTGTGGCCATAAGTAACTGCAAATTATTGCTCTTGGGTTGGGCTCCCATCCCCAAATTTAGAAGTGAAGATGTCTGCAGTGCTTTCTTTTCAATCTCCCATGACAACTGGAATACCGCTTACAAAGGCCTACTGTCTTCTGAGGCTACTCTTCCCTTTTCTCTCCTTATTTCTTCTATCTGTGTCTCTCTCTCTCTTTAAGAAAAACTATCACTCTGTAGCCCAGGCTAGCTGGGGATTCACTGTGAAGCCCAGGCTAATTTCAGACTTGTGATAATTCTTGTGCATCAGCCTGCTGAGTGTTGAGATTCAGGTGTGAGCCACCACACCGGGTTTCCTCGCTTCTTGGTCACGGTCGCTTACTGTCCCACTATCCTCCTCCAGTACCAGAGTTCAATTCCCAGCACCCACACAGTGGTTCTCAAACATCTGTTATTGCTATTGCAGTTTTAGGGTGTCCAGTGGTCTCCCCACCCCCTGACACACACGAGGTACACAGATGTATACCTGCAGGCAAAACGCCATGCACATCAGATTCAATAATCGTTCAAAAATCGAAAAGAACCTTTCGTTCTGGCCTCACTGACTAGCTCACGCTCTCCCAAACGCTGCTCCGGCATTCACCAGAGTGCTTTTACTAAGTCACACCTTCCAGCAGGCTCCCTTTGTCAGATCAAATCACCATCCATCACTCATTTTCCCAAAGCCCTTCAGGTCTGAACTTCCCAGAAGGATGTGAACTCCTCCTCCTAACCTCCCACACGAGTGGCTTTTTCCCTACATACTCTCATTTAGTAACCGCTGTGCACCGCCTGGCGTCGAGAGCGCTCTCCGCCCGTCGTGACTCTCCATGGTTCCACAGCCCTCTTTGTAAGAAACCCAGCCAGACGAGCGCATTGACAGAAAGTAGGCAGACCAATTAGGAGTTAATCGTTTGAGATCCCCACTAATACCTCCTTTGTGTGCTTAGCAAGCAGAAGACGCTCTTAAAAGGAAAAGAGCAAAAGCAGTCGGGCCAGGCAGGGGTGGCGCACACCTTTAGTCCCAGCACTCAGGAGGTAGAGTCAGGCAGGTCTCTGAGGTCGAGGCCAGCCTGGTCTACTGGGCAAGGTCCGGGCATCCAGGGCCACACAGAGAAACTCTGTCTCGAAGAGCGAAACAAAACACAAAGCCATTGGTCCGGGATAGGAAGGTGGCTCAGCTCTGTGTTTATCGGGCTAGCTTGACAGGCAGCCTAGCCAAATCAGAACCTCAGGTTCAGTGAGAGACCCTCACTCATTAAGATAAGGTGGAAGGTGATGGAGGAAGACGCTCGATGTCAGTTCTGACCTCTCCCTGTGTGTGTGTGTTCGCATGCAGGCACACACACGCTTACCTGTACACACGTACACACATACATGGACATACACAAAGCAAAGCAAAGAAATAGGCGACTGGTTAATAGGTGAGCAGGTCAGGAGAGCCCCCTCTTCAGCAGCATGTAATCATTCTTCTGACGATGCTAGAAAACAGGCACCCCGAGAGTAAGGAAAAATGTCCGCCAACGACTTACCAATGAGGGCAGCAAGTCCCCAGAACACCACCAAGGGTACCATGGCTGTGACTCTTCGATACCTGTTCTGGTTTGAAATAGAGACAGATTAATTTCAAAACAGGTTTCTTAACAGGAAATTCCTGTCACTTAAACAATAAATTGAGAAGTTTAGAATCATTTCCAGCTAGGCTCTGTTTCGCAGCCCCAGCATTCCTGCAACCGCAGGCATGCGTGTCTTTAGGACGCCCTATAGTGTTACCCCTTACACATGCTAACCACGTACACTTAGCAGAGCAGAGCGGGGTTCTATGCTGTCTCTTCCCAAATGGGTTCTTCCCCTGTCTCATTCCTAAGCCGCTTACCTCCCTTGCTCGCTCCCAGGGAAATCTTCCTGTCGCTGAAGAAGCCCTTAGTGGCAGCAACCTGTAGATTAAGATTTCACACGGTGATGATGGCTGTCACACGGGTGTGGCAGCTGTGGACTCCATCAGGCAGAGAGGCTCTGTGCCCCTGGCTTCACCCAGCTGAGCAAACCTCAGTGAGGCTCCACCACTGAGAAGGAAGCCTTTAACCGCCGGCGCCCGGACTCACCTGCCTTGGCTGCTTTTGTCCTGTGGCAGTGATTGGTAGAGGAGCTTTATATACGATTTCAAGGCCCGCCTTTAAACTGCCGACCTCATTAGACCTGATTGGAGTAGTACTTTGGATTTAGGTGGCCCCTTTAATAAAATGACTTCAAAGTGTTTGTTGACCACAGTGAATTAACGAATCTAATGATCCCCCAGGCGGCACAGGAGGAGCCTATTTGATGGATCATTTCTGGTTACCTAAAATGGTATTAGGCACACGGCTTCTGAATTTGAAAATAAGATGCTGATTAAACAGGATCCACTAGCTCACTTCTGAACGGATAATTCACCTGAAATGCTGATTTCCACCTTCGAGTATCACAGGATTCCCGTACAAAGATATCACACAATCTTATGCCAGTAAGTCACCTGACTGGGATAAGTGAACTTGGCTCCTGGCTCCAAGTTCACCTCTGACAGGGTAGCTACTTGCTGAAGGCAAGAAACACAAAGTTGGTACTAGCAGTCTGAGAGCTCATTGCCCCCATTATCTTCTGCGTGCGTGCGTGCGTGCGTGCGTGTAGAGGCCACAGGTCAATATCATTGCATCTTCTTTTTTTACCTTCCGCATTGTTTTCTGAGACAGGGTCTCTTGCTGAACCTGAAGTTCACTAATTAGCTATCTGGCCTCCTAAACATGAGGAGAGCAAATGCATGCCACTGTGCCCAGCATCTTACATGAGTGCTGGGACTCTGAATTCAGGAATCATTCTTTGCATGCTCAGCACATGGCTGGTTGAGCCCTCTCTTTAGCTCTGTCATGCCCCAAACTTTCTAAGGAAATAGGAGATATTTTTTTTTTTTCCCTCTTGCACTTATAAGAGATGAAAACACAGGAAAGGAAAGAGCATTCTTGTGCTAGGTAAAGCACATCCCCCCCAGAGTGGAGGAAGAAGTCAGCCTGGATCCCTTGGTACATCAGAGATGTTTTTGAGACCCCACACGATTCTTCCATCCACCAGGATATGGATGAAAAACGCACCGAGCTTAGTGACATCCCAGTTTCCCAGGAAAACAGCAGCACCCAGGAGAAGTTGCCTCCACGGGACTCATCTCTGTATCTCAGGACTCCGACTTCTGTCCTGTGCACATTCCTGCAAACAGGTGCATCCAGGAAGGTGAGACTGGGATGCTCTGAGCTGACGGGTGATCCCTGATCCCTGCCATGGGTCTCAGGGTGGTGACTCACGGAGGGCCTGCCCTCTGTCCATGGCCAACACTGCAGTTGGGCTGCTCATTAATGATGGGTTTGCACAAGGCTAGCTGCCCTGAGGCGGTCTCCAGAAACGTGGAGTTATCACTGGCAGTAATGCCAACAGTGCCACCGCACAGGTCACACTGAGGCATTGTGTCCATGGCCTACCCAAGTGCTGGCCAGGGATGAGCTCTGCAGCTGATATGAGGCTTCCCGGACAAACAGAATGATAAAGTTCAGGAAAGGCGGAAGAGGAGATGGAGAAAGAATTTAAAGGTGAAACCAGGGGAGGCTCGCACGGCCCCTAGGTGCCCCTGGAAATCACCAGCATCCCTGGAATACTGTTAAACAGTTAAACCCAGTTTCTCCCCTAGCTCCAGAAGCAATGCTGTGCTGAGGCTCACGACGGCTGCTCCCTCCGATCCCTCTCTCAACTGTCGTTTTCAGCTGTGAATCATTCTGCTTTGCTCTAACCGTGAGGGGTGCGGGGGGGCTCATTTGATAGTCTTCAAATGCCAGACTCCTCTGTACTTAGAGTATTCCGTCCCTCAGTAGCCCTGGGGGCAGGTATTACTACTTCAGAGATAAGGAAGCCGGGACTCAGAAAAGGTTTATCAAAAATGGCATGCTAACTGCGGGCAGAGTCAGGACTGGAACTCAGGTCCCTGAGTTTTTCCACAACAGCAGAGGAATCCATCTCCAAACTAACGAGCCAGCAGAGCAGCTGTCACAGCCGCTCCAAAGCCATCTGCACACGAAGCCTCACCTGCGTTCCGAATAAATAACAGTGGCCGGTACCTCGGTGGATGGGGCCACAGCGGCCTTAGAGAATCACAGCGGTGCCTCTGGATGGTGTGTGAGTTCTAAGGCACAGATTAATGTGAACGGACCGAATCCATTCATGTTGCTGGGTTTTCTCTGTAACGATTCAATTAATATTCGAGCTTGAGCAGAACGCTTGCAAAGGCACGGCAGGGGCGGCTGTCCTCAGTGACTTTGACGCCTCCGCCCTCCTGACCCAGAGGAGGCTGACTCCTAACACGTGAGGATCTTAACGACATCACGACATTAAAAACAAAACAAAACAAAATCCACTGAATGATTTTCCGTCGTGTTCCGAGGACAGCAAGCATGACCACTCCCAGGAGGGGCTTGAGGGGACCTTGGCCCCTGACACAGTCTCCACCAGCTCTTCAGGCTTTCCCAAAGAGAAATGGAAAATACACAAGCAACACTCTTGCCACACAAAAATGTAGCAATCTCTGGCAGCCTCTGAGGAGTTGTGAAAAGCTCTTAGCGATGGGGATTCCACTAGTCCCAGTATCCAGCAGGTCTCAGAAGTAGCCTGAGGAAGATAAATGCAGTTTCCAAACCCTGACTCTTTGTCCACTCTCGTCCGAGGCAGGGGTATGGCAAAGGAAGCCCGTCCACACAGCTCAGCCGTGCCGCACACCAGCCAAGCAACTGGTCCAGGCATCGTTTTCTTCTGTGTCTAGAGAGAAAAGGCTGGACAAGAGCAGGTACACTACAAGAAAAACGCTTTATGGGCCTCTAATAGCTGGAGAAACATAGTTTTGAGGTCGTTTTCTTGTATATCTAGTGATTTGAAGTGTCCATTGTTTTGTGAGGTTGCTGGTGAGGTCATTATGTCCTGATTTTTGTTGGGAGTGTTCTTACGTCTGCCTCTAGCCATCTGGTTATTTATAATCCTCACTGTTCCTTGAGTTTGTAGTTCGGTTTCCCATAGTGAGGGGAACAAGGACTATTTCTAATAGGAACTCAATGGCTGGCTCTTTGACCTTCCCACCCCCCAAGGGAGGAGCAGTCCTGTTAGGCCACAGAGGAGGGCTTCGCAGCCAGTCCTGAAGATACCTGATAAAACAGGATCAGATGAATGGGGAGGAGGTCCCCCCTATCAGTGGACTTGGAAAGGGGCACGGTGGAGATGAGGGAGGGAGGGAGGGATTGGGAGGAATGAGGGATCGGGACACGGCTAGGATACAGAGTTAATAAAATGTAACTGATAAGAAAAAAATAAAATTAAAAAAATGCAACAAAAAAATCTATTTTCAATAAAAAAAAAAAAAAAAAAAGAAAAATGCTGTAGGTCAAACCCACTCTGCCTGCTAAAGAAGGGTATCCAAGCAAGGCTATGTCGCCCAGTGGCTTGGACAGAGATTACGTCTGTGGTTCAGCTTTTGTCATTGTTCATGGAAACACAGGCTACATTTTGTTTAATGATATAGATATTTCTTTTATTTATTCATCTTTATTTATTTTACATTCCAAGGGTGCCCCCTCCTCCCCTCTCCTCCCAGTTTCCCCTTCCCTCTTCCCTTTCCCCTCCCCCTCTCATCAACCCTCCCCAGCACATCACGCCACATCAGGACTGAGCATATCTTCATCCCCTGAAGCCAGGCAAGGCAGCCCTGCCAGGGGAGAGTTACCCAAAAGTAGGCAATAGAGTCCATATTAGAACTAGCCAACCCTCCAGTTGCCAGGCACCCGATACGCAGACCTAGCAGCCCATCGGCTATGTATGTGCAGGGGGCCTCGGTCCAGATCATACGTGCTCCTTAGTTGATGTCTCAGTCTCTGAAAGCCCCTATGGGACTGAGTCATGGGCTACATTTTAAGTTTCACCCTAACCATAGTGACAGCTAAGTCAGAGTGTTTTGAGGTGACTTTCAAAGTGAATTTTCCCCCCTCTGTCTTGCAATTAACCAACAGTGGAACTTTCTTATAACCTGGGGGCCCTTCCACAGGGGTCGCCTAAGACCAAATATCAGGTATTTACATTACGATTCCTAACTGTAGTGAAATGACAGTTATGAAGTAGTGATGAGAACAGCTCCGTGGGTGGGGTCACCGCGGCATGAGGAGCTGTGTGTATTAACGGGCCGCGGCGTTAGGAAGTTGGCAGCCACTGGGACACAATGGTACTTGACGGCCTGATGCTGATCTCAGCCTTAAACCGGGCCGCAGCAGACAGAGCCCTGCTCCCGAAAGCAGTCAGCCTCGCAGGTGTCAAGCTTGGGGATTTTCCGCAACAATGGGAACACTAGCAAAGGCATCGCGTTGGAAGGCAACGCATTTTTCGTAAGAACTGTCAGTCTGGTTGCTACTGCTCACGGTCTGAAGCCAGGAGGGAGCAGCCTCACCGCTGAGGGGGGTCACTGCATCACCAAGGATCCCTTGCTGTGGTGCTAAGGTTAAAAGTCAGCTGCATCCGAAAAG